GGCTTGCTCTCGTCGGCGTCGGGGGCGCCCTGCGTTCCCCATGGAGGCGCGGCAACCTTCATCGGCTGAGTGGTTATCCACTCGGGGTCGCCCTTCACGACCTTTTATCCAGGCATGCGATATCCCCAGTGGCTCTCTTGATGGCCTCAGAGACTTCACGAGGGTCGACCTCTCCTGTATTCGGGGTCACGTTGTTGGTCCACATGTGGTCGCTGTCCTGCCCGTTGGGGTACCACTCGAGGTCCACGGCCCCAGCAGGGTGGTCGGAAAACCACGGGAATGCGGTTCTCGGCGGGTAGGTTGGAAGCGTTTGGGATTGCCGCCAGCCTTCCAGAGCCATCGGCACCCAGCCTGGCACCCCTTGTGAAGCGTCGCAGCCTTCGCACATGGAAACCGCAATAATTGGGCACTCGCGGCGCTCGCACGAACATGGAGCCGAAACGACTGCGGGAGACGGGGGCCCAGTGGGAAAAAAATCCCAGAGCGACCCGACCTAGGAATTGGAGCCCCGAGGAGAGCAATATGAGTAGTAACGGTAAACGCCGCCCTCCTCCTTCGCCTGATCGTCGCAGTTGTAGCAGCAGCGGCAGTAGCGGTAGTAGCAGTAGTTGTAATAGTAGTAGTAGTAGTAGTAGTAGTAGTAGTAGTAGTAGTAGTAGTAGTAGTAATAGTAGTAGTAATAGTAGTAGTAATAGTAGTAATAGTAGTAGTAGTAGTAATAGCATAGCTAAATACCTACATATACATCTAGACCTACATGCACCTCTACACCTACAGCTACACCTACATTAACACATGCATCTACATCTACATCTGCATCAACAACTACATTCACATCTCGCTCGGCGGCACCTCGCCCCACTCGGCCACCTCCGCGCTGCACGCGGCCAGCCCGCCCCCGCCGCGCCGCAGCAGCAGCATCTCCTCCGCGGGCTGATGTGGCGGCTCGAAAGCATGGTGGAGCGCCAGGAACCGCTCCTGGCACTCCTGGCACGTGAACTTCACCATGCGCGCCAGGATCGCCTGCGCCGTCTGCACAGCCCGAACGGACGCGTCGCGCAGCTGCACGTCGTACTTCGCCACGCGCAGCGGCGCTCTCTTCAGCGACAGCAGCGCGCCCTTCTGGCGAGCATCTCCTGCAGCCAAGCGCGCGGTGATCCACGTGCCCCCCGAAGCGCCCACGCAAACGCGCATTCGGGCGAAACTCCCAGCACTCCGACTCCGGCGCAAATCCAAACACAAACGACTCTGCAACGGCCGACAGCTTTTAAAATATATTCACGGCCGAGAGAAAGAGAGAGAAAGAAAGAGAGAGAGAGAGAGAGAGAGAGAGAGAGAGAGAGAGAGAGAGAGAGAGAGAGAGACCCCGCACACTTCTCTCACATCTCATATTGGGCGGATGTAACCTGGAATGGTTGCGCCGGCGGCCGTCGCCAAAAAGTACTGCGGCCCTCTGGAACCGAACCCTCGTTGATACGACAGGGGGGAACCATGTAAAATCCATGTTTCTGACTTTTCCAATTCTCTGGGTACGAACCGTCGCTGATTCGGCTGCTGGGAAAGCCTTATGAAATCCAATGTTTCACATTTGTCCAATTCTCTGGGGCCGAACCCTCGCTGGCGCGGCGGGGGGGAAACATTGCAAAATCTACTGTTTCCCATGTTTCCAATTCTCTGGGGCCGAACCCTCGCTGGCGCGGCGGGAAGAAAACGCTGCGACATCTAACGTTTCCCATTTGCCCATTTCTCGGGCGCCGAACCGCTTGCAACATCAATGGGAATTCAATCCGAGAGAATTGGAATATATATATATATATATTATATATATATATATATATATATATATATATAAAAAAAAAAAAAAAAAAAAAAAAAAAAAAAAAAAAAAAAAAAAAAAAAAAAAAAAAAAAAAAAAAAAACGTTTAAAATGTTTTCCTCCGCCGCACCTGCGAGGTTTCGGCCGCTGGCGCGGCGGAGAGAAAACATTGCGAAATCCAAATTTCCCAAGTTTCCCCATTCCCTGGGGCCGAACCCGCGCTGGCGCGGCGGAAAGCAAACATTGCAAAATCCCATGTTTCCCATTTTTCCAATTCTCTGGGGCCGAAACCTCGCCGGCGCGGCTGGGAGAAACATTGTGAAAACTACGCTTTGCAATTTGTCCAATCCGCTTGCAACATCAATGGGGGGTTCAGTCCGAGAGATTTGAGAAAATGGGACAATGGTTTTACAATGCTTCCTCTCTGCCGCACCTGCGAGGGTTCGGCCGCTGGCGCGGCGTAGAGAAAACATTGCAAAATCCAGCTTTTCCAATGTTTTCCACTTCTCTGGGGCCGAACCCTCGCTGGCGCGGCGGAAAGAAAACACTGCGAAATCGATTTTCCAATTTGCCCAATTCTCGGGCGCCGAACCGCCTGCAACATCAATGGGGGTTCAGTCCGGGAGAATGGGAGGAACAAATGATTATATCGTGTTTTCTCTCTGCCGCACCTGCGAGGGTTCGGCCGCTGGCGCGGTGGAGAACAAACATTGCAAAATCCAATTGCAAAATCCAATTTTCCGATGTTTCCAATTCTCTGGGGCGAACCCTCGCTGGCGCGGCGGAGACAAAACACACTGAAATCTAATGTTTCCTATTTGTCCGATTCTCGGGCGCCGAACCGCTTGCAACATCAATGGGGGTTCAGTCCGAGAGAATTGGAAAAAAAATGAAACATTGGATTTTACAATGTTTTCTCTCCGCCGCACCTGCGAGAATTCAGCCGCTGGCGCGGCGGAGAGAAGACATTACAGAATCCAATGTTTTCCAATTTTCCCAATTCTCTGGGGCCGAACCCTCACTGGTGCGGCGGAAAGAAAACATTGCTGAATCTATGATTTCCCATTTCTCCAACTCTCCGGGGCCGAACCCTCGCTGGCGCGGCGGAGAGAAAACACTGCGAAATCTAATGTTTCCTATTTGTCCAATTCTCGGGCGCCGAACCGCTCGCAACATCAGCGGGGTTCAGTCCGAGAGAATTGGAAAATTAGAAAAAATAGATGTTAATGTTTTCCCCCCTGCCGCAAATGCGAGGGCTCGGCACGAGAGGCTTGGAAAAATCGGAAAGTTGGATTTTACCACATATTGGCCAATCAAGAACCGACAGCTTTGGCCCACGCGTCAGGGGGGGGGGGGGGGCGCCCCCAACCGCGGGAAAAGGGAACTTGCAAAGGTTCCCTTTACCGTTCGCGTTTGGATTGGGGCGTGAATTTGACAGGGCGCACTCTCCAGCAACGGGAACGGAAACTTGAAATGGCCATCGTTTCCACGCGCGTTTGCGCCGGAGGGTGAACTTGGAAAGGTTAACTCTGTAGCCGCGGGAACGGGAACTTGAAAAGGGTCTCGTTCCCGCTAGCGCTTGCGCTGGAGGGTGAACTTGAAAAGGTTCATTCTCTATCAGCGGGAGCGGGAACTTGAACAGGGTCTCGTTCCCGCTAGTGCTTGCGCTGGAGGGTGAAGTTGAAAAAGGCTCATTCTCTATCAACGGGAACGGAAACTTGAGAAGGTTCTTGCTCCCGCTGGCGCCTGCGCTGGAGGGTGAAATTGAAAAGGTTCACTCTCTAGCAGCAGGAACGGGAACTTGAAAAGATTATCGTTCCCGCTGGCGCTTGCGCTGGAAGGTGAACTTGAAAAGGTTTACTCTCCAGCAGCGGGACTGGTAACTTGAAAAGGTGCTCGTTCCCGCTAGCGCTTGCGCTGGAGGGTGAACTTGAAAAGGTTTACACTATAGCCGCGGGAACGGGAACTTTAAAAAGGTTCTCGTTGCCGCTTGTGCTTGCGCTGGACGGTGAACTTGAAAAGGTCCATTCTCTAACCGCGGGACCGGGAACTTGAAAAAGGTTCTCGTTGCCGATTGTGCTTGCGCTGGACGGTGAACTTGAAAAGGTTCATTCTCTAACCGCGGGAACGGGAACTTGAAAAAGGTTCTCGTTCCCGCTTGCGCTTGCGCTGGACGGTGAACTTGAAAAGGATCACTCTTCCTTAGTGCCTGCTTGCGCGGATCCCTGCGTTGCCCCCTCACGTCTCCGCCATGGTTCACTCATGGCTCCCTCATGGCTCCCTCGTGGCTCCTTGGCGGTTCCCTCATGGCTCCCTCCTTGCTTCATTACGGCCCCCTCATGGCTCCCTCGTGGTTTTTTCATGTCTCCCGCGTGTATCCCTCATGGTTCCTTCATGGCTCCCTCCTGGCTCTCGCGGCTCCCTCGCAGCTCCCTCGTGGCTCCTTCACGGCTCCCTCATAGCTCCCTCGCGGCTCCCTCGCGGTTCTTTCGTGCATCCCGCGTGCTTCCCTCATGGCTTCTTCATGGCTCCCTCCTGGCTCTCACGGCTCCCTCGCAGTTCCCTCTGGATCCTTCACGGCTCCCTCATGGCTCCCTCATGGCTCCCTAGCTCCCCTTGCACAGCGTGGGCGTTGGCTTTGCATAGATTCCATCGACAACGGCGCACGCGACAAAACGAAACGACGAAAACCCTGCAGGGTCCTTGGGGGGAGGTGCCCATGTGTATATATATATATATATATATGCTCCCCACCCCCCCCCCCCCCCCCCCCCCCCCCCCCCCCCCCCCCCCCTCCCCCGCACCCCCCACCCCCCAGCACCCCCAAACCCCGGACTGGAGGGCATCCTCTCCTTGATCTCTCCACCCTCTCACACCTCTCTCTCTCTCTCTCTCTCTCCTCTCTCTCTCTCTCTCTCTCTCTCCTCTCTCTCTCTCTCTCTCTCTCTCTCTCTTCTCTCTCTCTCTCTCTCTCTCTCTCTCTCTCTCTCTCTCTCTCTCTCTCTCTATCTCTCTCTCTCTCTCTCTCTCTCTCTCTCTCTCTCTCTCTCTCTCTCTCTCTCTCTCTCTCTCTCTCTCTCTCTCCCTCTCTGTCTCTCTCTCTCTCTCTCTCCCTCTCTCTATCTCTCTCCCTGGAGGTCACGAGTTTGGCTGCAGCTTTGCTTTTCTCCTAAACGTCTTTGCGATGTCCGATAATCAGAAGAGCACCAAAACCCCCACGCAGAAGGAGATCACCCGCCAGAAGCGCCAGTGGGCGGAAGCCGTCGCACAAGGGCGGACCTTCAAGCCCAAGAACGGATGGTATTTCAACACAGAGGACGAGCAGGCACTTTTCAAAAAAAAGCAAAGCTGGCGCACGATGGGGAGGTTGACAGCGAAAACGACAAGAAGGAGAACAAGGGGAAGAAACAGGAGGAGGACAAGAAGGGGGACGAGAAGGATGACACAAAGGAGGACACGACAGAGAGCACGAAGGAGGACAAGAACGAGGACAACAAGGACAACAAGCTTTCCTGGGAGAAGAGGGTGGAAGCCAAAAAGTCTGCAGCACAGAGCTTCTCGACCTCGTCCTCGTCCTCGACGACGAAGTCTTGTGCGCCGCTGCTTGGGGCAAGGGCGGGGGCGTCAAGACGCCGCGGAAGGTCTCGGTCTACATGATGGATCGGCTTGGCGGCGCGCACTCTCGGTACCACCTGCCCCCGCAGGAGAAAGGCGACAAGGAGAAGAAAAAGTGCCTTCCTCAGGGCGTGATCGTAGCCCAGTACCAGTTCATTAAGGACAACGCCCCGCGCGGCAACTTCGATTGCGAGCAGACGATGTGGATCGACTTCCAGCTGAACGACCCGCAGAGCCCAATCCACCATTGGAAGGAGGGGAAGATCAAGGAGGTTCTCTCGCACATCAAGGACCAGAGCATACAGGCGAGCAAGGTCACGCACTTTCCCATCTTCATATTCGACGCGGGGGAGGAGGGCATCGAGCGCGCGAAGCGCCTCGTTCCGACTTTCAAGAGCCACTCTTGCCTCATGGTCGGCGAGGCTGGCGAAGGGAAGACGCCGTACTTGGAGACCATGGCGTTCGCGATGGGTGACTATTACGCGGACAAGCTGGGGAACCGCAGCGCGGCCTCGTACCGCACGGCGCCAGACCTGGACTTCTTCCGCGCAGAGGAAGGCACGAAGCACTGCCCCTGCGTGTTCGACGACGGCGATTTATTCGACCAGCGCCCGAAGACGTTGAAGGCTTTCCTGGACGTCGGCCAGTGGCAGGCCATGACGAGGGAGAGGTGGGGGGCAGCGAAGTTCGTCCGTGGTCAAGCGCGCTTCGCCGCGGAGAACAAGTACGACGAGGCGGCCGTTCCTAGCTGGGACGCGTGGCGCGGCCTGGACGTCTTGCCGCTCAAGCAGGCGGTCCAGAAGAGGAACGAGTTCTTGTTCGACATGCTGAAGCCGACTTTCCCAAAAGACATGTCCAAGGCGAACGTCATCGCGATCGTGAAGCGGTCTTCCGTCGTCATGAACACACCTGATGACGTCTTCGAGCGCCTGGCGGGGTTGGGCTCGGACGTGACGAGAACCCCAAAGAACGGGCATTTCATTACCAAGCAGGCGGGCACCATTCTCTACAACTACATCGAGAACGGCATCGAGCGGGCCCCCGAGGAGTACAACGTGCTGAGGGACAAGCAGCTCCGCTTCATGAAGGGGTTGCTCGACAAGGGCGCCGTGCCCATGCCCGTGCCGGTTAAGAGGGAGCTCGTCGACGGCAGCGAGGACGACGCAGACGCGGCGCTCCGCGAGCCTCTGCCAAGCCTGCCCCATCGCATCAAGTGGGCCAGGTCTTTCGGGAGCATCCCAGGCGGCCAGATTGACATCACGACGCCGCCGCGCGCGGCCCGCGCGTCGTCATCCGCGGACATCGCCCCCGAGAGTGCCCACGACGCCAGCTGCCCCCTGGGCACTCAGGATGTGGATGCTGCTATGGCCGACGCGGATCTCGGGGACCAGATGGGCCTTGGCGGGGGCATGTCTGGCGATGCTGACTGAGCGGGCGGCCGACAGCCAACGCGGCGCTTCGGCCTTGCGTCGATTCATCCCCTGATTGAGCAGGGGGTGGCCAACGGCCATAGCTGCCCCTTTGCTATATAAAACACGCGCCCCCGTTGATAGTGCGGGCGCAGCAAACGACGGCATGCCATACTCATTGAAAACGCCATATCTGCCTGGCTCCGCTATGCCTGCCTCTTTCTTGTCTCCCTCTGTCCTCGGCTCCTCTTTGCTGCTGGTTCCCTCTCCCTGCTGTTGACTAGGAAGCACCAACTGATCGTGTTCTCCTCCGTTTCCCCCTCCGTCTCCTCCTCGTTCTCCGTTCCTCCTCCTTCTCCTCCTCCCCCTCTCCTCCTCCCCCTCCCCCTCCTCTTCCTCCTCCTCCTCCTCCTCCTCCTCCTCATCCTCCTCCACCTCCTCCTCCTCCTCCTCATCCTCCTCCTCTTCCTCCTCCTCACCCCCGACGCATTGCGGAGTACTGCCATACCTTGACCCCCTCCTTGCTCCCCCCCTCCCCGTCTTCCTCCGCCTCCCTCAGGGACAGTGTGCCAGGCAGGAAACCTTGTGAAAACACATATAATTAAAAAACTGATATGTTTGGTGGTTTTCTTTAGGAAACCCTGTAAAAACACACATAAAGCTATAAAACTGATGTTTTAAGGTTTTCTGGAGATGGCGCCCCCTCTCCCCCTCCTCCCCGTCCTCCTCCGCCTCCCTCAGGGACAGTGGCGCCATCTCCAGAAAACTTTAAAATATCAGTTTTATATGTGTTTGTACAGGGTTTCCTTAAGAAAACCACCAAAAATATAAGTTTTATCTGTGTTGTTACATGGTTTCCTTAAGAAAACCACCAAAAATATCAGAATTATCTGTGTTTTCACAAGGTTTCCTGCCTGGCACACTGTCCCTGAGGGGGGCGGAGGAGGACGGGGAGGAGGGGGAGGGAGGGCGCCATCTCCAGAAAACCTAAAATATAAGTGTTATCTGTGTTTGTACAGGGTTTCCTAAAGAAAACCACCAAATATATCAGAATTATCTGTGTTTTTACCGGGTTTCCTTAAGAAAACCACCAAAAATATCAGAATTATCTGTGTTTTTACATGGTTTCTATGATGAGGGTGAGGAGGAGGAAGAGGAGGAGGAGGAGGAGGTGGAGGAGGGAGGAGGAGGAGGAGGAGGAGGAGGAGGAGGAGAAGGAGGAGGAACGGAGAACGAGGAGGAGACGGAGGAGGAAACGGAGGAGGAGAACACGATCAGTTGGTGCTTCGTTTGTTTTTGGGTGGTCTGGGGGTGCTGGGGGGGGGGGGTCGACATATATATTATATATATATTATATATATATATATATATATATATATATATGCATACTAGAACCACGCGCGCGCTTCGCGCGCGCTTAGGTTCTAGTTTGCTCCGAAAGCGGTGTTCGCAAGCACGGGTCCGATTCCGTGGCGATTCGCGGGAAATCTACGTCCGAAAATGACGTGGTGCCAGAGGCAGGTCCGCGGATGCTTTAATGCAACGTGTCCAGTGTATCCAACGATTGCATACTTGTTACATATGCTACATATTGTATGGTTCTGCAATATTATGCCCCCCTCCCTTGGAGCCGCGCCACATCGTCGGACCAAATCTGGAGGGCCTCATTCTGGGCCTCAAAACATAGAAAGACCTATGGAAAATCAACAATTTCGGCCTCTTGGGCCTCTTGGGACTCCAAGAGGGCCTCAAGATGGCCGACGATGGCCCCAAGACAGCCCAAGACGGCCTCAAGACGGCCCAAAATGGCCCCAAGAGGGCCCATGAGGCTCCCAAGAAGATCCACGAGAGCACTCAAACCCGAACAATCTTTCCATGACACCCTCACCCTTAGACCCGAACCTTGAGACCGAAGACCCGAGCCCAGAAATCGAACCCGAACGCCTCAACATCTCAAATGAAGAGGCTCATCCCCGCTCCACCGTTTCCTCCTTCCTTCTGAATCCTTCCTTCTTCCACTTGCTCAAACTCCTCCTCCTCCTCCTCCTCCTCCTCCTCCTCCTCCTCCTCCTCATCGCCCTCCTCCTCCCACTCCTCCTCCTCCTCCTCCTCCTCCTCCTCCTCCTCCTCCTCCTTCTCCTCCTCCTCCTCCTTCTCCCCCTTCTCCTCCTCCTCTCCCTCCTCCTTCCTCCTCCTTCTCCTCCTCCTCCTCCTCCTCCTCCTACTCCCTCCTCCTCCTCTTCCTCCTCCTCTCTCCCCGTCCTCCCCCTCCCTCCTCCTCCTCATCCCTCCTCCTCCCACCGTCCCGGCAGACTCCATGCATTGACGTTCGTGCGAGGCCTCATTCCCAAGCTTGTCTTGGGGCGCCCTTGGGCGCCTCTTGGGGCTTTTGGAATAAGTTGGATACGTGGTACGAAAGGAATGGAGTAAGTTTTGGCTCCTGGGGCCCTTTTGGAAGGCCTCTTGGAGCCTTCTTGGGGCGTCTTGACGGCCTCGTGGCCCTTCTGGAGGCCATGTTGGGCCGTATCGGAGCGCTCCGGGGGCCCTCTCGGGGCGACCGGGAAGTCTCTTGGGCCATCTTGGGCGGACTGGGAGGCCCGGGGGCCGCCCGAGGAGCGTCCCAGGAAGCCCTCCTAGGCCCTCTTAGCGCTGTCCTCAGGCGTCCTGGGGCGTCCTTGGGCGCCTCCTGGGGCTGTCTGACAACTCGGACAGCCAAGGGATGAGATATCCTAAAAATGTACGTTTTACGAAGGGAATGGGGCCATTTTGGTTTCCCGGGGCGCTCTTGGGGGGCCTCTTGGAGGCCTCTTGGGGCGGTTTGATGGCCTCTTGTCCCTTCTGGAAGCGATCTTTGGCGGTCTTGAAGCGATCCTGGGCTTCTCTCGGCGCTCTTGGAGCCTTCTTTGGCGGACTGGGAGGCCCGGGGGCCGCCCGAGGAGCGTCCCGGGAGGCCTTCCTGGGCTGTCTTCGGGCTATCCTAGGGCGCCTCGTGGGGCTTTCGGACCGCTCCGACAGCCAAGGGAGCTGATATCCTAAAAATGTACGTTTTACGAAGGGAATGGGGCCATTTTGGTCTCCCGGGGCGCTCTTGGGGGGCCTCTTGGAGGCCTCTTGGGGCGGTTTGATGGCGTCTTGGCCCTTCTGGAAGCGATCTTTGGCGGTCTTGAAGCGATCCTGGGGTTCTCTCGGCGCTCTTGGAGCCTTCTTGGGCGGACTGGGCAGCCCGGGGGCCGCCGGAGGAGCGTCCCGGGAGGCCCTCCTGGGCCGTCTTGGGGCTGTCCTCAATCGTCCTGGAGCGTCCTTGGGCGCCTCGTGGGGCTTTCTGGCCGCTCCGACAGCTAAGGGAGCTGATATCCTAAAAATGTACGTTTTACGAAGGGAATGGGGCCATTTTGGTCTCCGGGGGCGCTCGTGGGGGGCCTCTTGAAGGCCTCTTGGGGCGGTTTGAGCGCCTCTTGACCCTTCTGGAAGCGATCTTTGGCGGTCTTGAAGCGATCCTGGGGTTCTCTCGGCGCTCCTGGAGCCTTCTTGGGCGGGCTGGAACGCGCGGGGGCCGCCGGAAGGGCGCCCCGGGAGAGGGCCGCACCCTATATACAAGGGGGGTTCCGGCCCGGGGCCCGGGGCCCGGGATCTCCCATATATGTATACTAGAACCACGCGCGCGCTTCGCGCGCGCTTAGGTTCTAGCTAGGCACAACATCATCGTCATCCTCGTCTTCGTCATCATCATCATCATCATCATCATCATCATCATCATCATCATCATCATCATCATCATCATCATCATCATCATCATCATCATCATCATGATCGTCAGCATCATCGTCATCATCATCGTCATCGTCATCGTCGTCGTCATCAACATCGGCATCAACATCATCATCATCATCATCATCATCATCATCATCATCATCATCATCGTCATCATCATCAGCATCGTCATCATCATCATCAGCAGCAACATCCTCATCATCATCATCATCAGCATTACCATCATCATCATCATCATCATCATCATCATCATCATCATCATCATCATCGTAATCATCATCATCCTCGTCATCATCCTCATCGTCGTCTCCATCATGATCATCTTCGTCGTCAAATCATCATCATAAATAATGGAATCGCCATCGTAACCGTCGTCGTAATCGACGTCTTCGTCGACGTTTCTTCTTCGTCCTCGTCGTCGTCATCATCACCATTATCATCATCATATCGTCATCCACCTGGTCTGGCCCCCTCCTCGTCGTCGTCCTCCTCTTCCACCACCTCTTCCCCGTTCTATCTCTCCCACTTCTGGAAGATCTCCTCGTTTTGCTCCTCCTCCTCCTCCTCGACGCCGCTTCCTCGAAGAAGCTGTGAACACGTGGACAAGTGAAAACACAGTCATGCATGCATGACTACGAAAGAAAATAAAAAGCGTCGGCATTACCTCATCCAGGGAGGCTGCTGTGGCTTGTCGTGCCTCGCTTGACGTACGGACTGGCTCAATCCCAGCTCATCCCCCATACCTCCCAAGATGTTTGTACCCCCTCAGATTCCCGAGAGCTTTTGCCAGGCATGAAAACGGCCACACTTTGTTCTGGCATGGGGTGTCTACACTCGTGCCCAGATGTTCGACGCAACGAAAATGACACGAAATTCGGCTCCCGAATTCGTTGCGCTTGCATGGATGGACCGGTGCACCGAAAATGGACTTCGAGACAGAAAGCCGTAACGATCCAGACCGTTACGGCCAGACGGAGGCGGACAAATCCTGCCCCCCAAGTGCCCATATCCGCGAACCTCCTTATATCCTCAGCTGCTGGGGTGAATCTGTGATCCCGCTGGAGGTGACTTCTGCCGGTGAGAACCTTGCTTGCACGGGGATTTCGTCGGCATTCCTCCATGCCGACTCCGCGGCATTTGGCTTCCCCCCCCTCGCCGGCCAGAGAGGGGGGGGCAAAATTTATTAACACTCCTCGGTGCTATTTTCCATTCTACCGAGAATGCGCCGGGAATCCTCGGCACCGACTCCGTGACATTCAATTGTCTTCCCGGCCGGCCGTAGAGGATGGGGGCACGATTTGTTAACACCCCCCGGTGCTATTTTCCATTCCGCCGAGACTCTGATCAAGTAAACTCCCCCGCTTCCTCTCCCAAGGGGACCCCATTTTGTTAATCCATGTCCCGGCCGCGTGGCCGATGACCACGAAGCCTCCGCACCGACTCCGTGACAGTGAGTCCCCCCCCCTCCCCAAACCTTTGAAGGCCCCAATCCCCAAGACGTCCCTGTGAGGCCCGAGGAGGCCGCAAATAGTCTCCAGGAGACAAGGGAAGTGCCTCAAACAAGGCCCTGGGTGGTCAGAAGCAGTGGAGAAGCACATGTGATACGCACCGTTTTTGAACAGTGTCGTCCCTTGGCGTTAGAGGACGGCTGTAAAGCATCTCACGTAGTGGCCTCAGGGAAGCTGCCAACAAAAACTCAACAGTCCCACCGGGCCTTAAGGAAATCCGAAAATGGCCGAAAAGGGATCTGGGAGAACTCCCAGATAACACGAAACCTTCCGAGATCGCACCTTGAAGGCTCCGTGACGGCACGAAATTCAAACCGGACGGCTTTAACATGGTTCCGTTGGGCCTCTTCGGCGCTGCTCGGCAGAACCATCTTGTCCCCAGGAAGGCTGCGTCAGGCAGCGCTAGACCTCAAGAGGATAGCTGCCAGAGGGCTCCATGACGAGCCGAAGACCTGATCAGACGGCCCCAAGATGGCTCCGCTGATCCTCTTCGGGACTGCTGGGCAGAACTCACGGGACTGCTGGGCAGGACAACGTCGCCTCAGATGTCTCGAAGATTCCACAAAAGCCCCGAAAGTGCTTTCGCCCTCGGAGGAGCTCCACAGAGAGAGTTCGCTGTGGTTCCACAGAGGGCGCAAAGGTGCCGCCAAACACCCCAGAAAATGCAACGCAACAGCCATGCAAGGTTACGGCCACGCCACGTCACAGCATCGCAGCGATGCCTCCCAGCTGGCCCCTGG